CCAGACAGATTCAGTTATGTACCAAACAGATTCAAACAGTTTAACAGTTTGACATTTGCATTTGTTCAAAGTGTTTCGCACCTATTCCATTTGAATTTAGACTTGTTTAGGTTTGAATTTTGTACATGTTTAGTCCTATAAAAGTAAAACATTTCCAGCAGATTTAGCAATTTGAAATTCTTATTCTTGCTATCTTTTGTGCTCTCTTGCATTGATTTTCTTCATACACAATTTTAGGGAAATTTTTGATAGTGTAGAGGTATATGGCAGTAACTATGGCATCAAACCAGTAGGTAAGAGGTAAAGAAGAATGATGAAGAAGAGAGATAGCTGTTTCAGTGATGTGCAGATGCTTCCTTTCTGCAACTCCATTCTGAGATGGAGTATAAGGACAAGAGTGTTGATGAAGTATGCCATAGAGATTCATAAAGTTCAACACGGAATGGTTAACAAATTCACCTCCACCATCTGTTTGTAAAATTTTAAGAGGAAGACCAAACTGTTTTTCAATAAAGGCCTTAAAAATCATAAACTTGAAAAATACCTCACTTTTATTAAAAAGGGGATAAATCCATGTGAATCGACTGAAATCATCAACAAACAACACATAATATTTGTAACCAGCAGAGCAACCATGAAAAGGACCCCAAACATCACTATGAATCAAAGACAATGGATTATTAATAGTAGAGTTTGAAAGTTTAAATGGAAGCCTATGACATTTGGAAACAGAGCAATCAATACAACTCAAGTCATTTTTATTGAAAACAATCGACAAATGAGACTTAAGTGGTTGAAGCTTTGAAAGAGAGGGATGGCCTAGTCTTTTATGCCAGAGTTCAGTAGATGATGATGAACCAGTAGTGGAAAATGCAACAGCAGTAGATGGAGGCAAAGACAAAGCAGGAGGTGAAGAAGTAAAATGATATAAACCATTGGCAGGATATCCTTTGTGAAGAATAGCCTTAGAAACTTTGTTCTGAATGGCAAAAGAAGAGTGATAAAAAATGATAGAGCAATTGTTGTCTTTTGCTAATTGTTGTACTAAAAGAAGATTAGACGAAATAATAGGAACATAAAGAACTTTGTTAAGTTTAAAAGAATGATATGGAGTTGGCAAAATACCTTTCCCAGTGTTGTGAATGGGAAGAGAATCACCATTGCCAAGAGTAACTTGGTCAGGACCAGAGTAAGGCTGATAGGAGTTTAAACGATGAAGATCATTTGTCACATGTTCAGAGGCAACGGAATCTAGAAACCAAGGAGTGGAGTTCTGAGATGTAGTATCATCAGTCATGGAGGCAACATAAGCTTTGGAATGAGTTTGGGGGTGAGATTTAGGAGAAAAAGATGACTGAGACTGCAATTCAAGATCCAGTCAATGCCAACAATCCAAGGCAGAGTGGTTAGGTTTACTACAGATTTGACAAACAGAACCAAAATCTGATCTACCAGACCTGCCACGATTTGAAGATTTGCCTCTGAAGGTTGAAGATCTACCTGGCCAGATCTGTATAATCCTCGGTAGGAACCTCTTGAGTCATATCGAGAAGAACCGCGATTATTGTAATAAAAAGTGAAACCTTTTGATGACTAAGAATCCTTCATTGTTGCATAGGCGATAGTAAGAGTAGAGGATTGATTTATTTTTCCTTCAATGTAAATTTCTCTGAACATAGTAAGGATGAAAGATCATCCATGGATATGCTTTCTGATCTTGCTCGAATTGCAGTTTTTAATGAATTATATTCCGCAGGTGATCCATTCAAAGTAATAAGAACGATGTCTTCATCTTCAAGAAATGAGGAAGCAATGCTAAGTTGATCAACAAGAGTTTTAATGTTTCTAAGATATACCTCCATTGAGTCAGAATTTTTTGAGACGGAGTTTAATTTGTTCTTAAGCTGATGGATATGTGATCTTGATAGAGTTGTAAATCGTTTGGCTAATGCAAACCAAATTTCTGAACTAGTTTAAAGATGAAGAACAGTGGTAAAAATAACAGGTGAGAGAGTGGCTGTGGTGCGGCTTATTAAATGTGCATCAATCATCTTCCATTGAAGTGCTTCAGGATTGCATATCTCTACACCAGATGAGTTAAGGATATAATCCGCTGGACATGAATACGAGCCATCAACAAATTTCAGCAGATCGGTAGCGCGAAGAATGTTCTTCATTTGACTTCTCCAGATGATGAAATTTGTATTATCTAGTTGTACAATCACAAGAGAACTCAGATTAGAGACCAGTATATTGAGATACGAAGGAATCGTAGTTGAAGACGATGGAATCATCATTGGAGTTGACGCCATTAGAGATGCTCGTTGGAGCTTCAAAGCTCTGATACCATGAAGAATTATTGATATTGTATATATTTTCTTGATTTGTTCTGTTCACTTACAATGATATATATACATATCAGATACAAGATACAATGCTAACAACCTAACTAACTAACTACCTCTAACTAACTCTGTTATAGCATATGATCACATGTGACACAGTACACCATATACTAAATTATAACTCCATTATGATCTGCTGGATTGTGATCTGCAGATGGTCGTTCTTTATCATGCAATACGTTTATAATTGATTTATTAATTTTCATGAGATAATGATTTGAGGAAGAGGTGAATAGCTCATAAATAACTTTGGGAGAGTTTAGAGAACGGGAAATAGGGTTATGGAGTAGCCACACAATACACTTTTGTAATATTTATAAATTTGTTTTGAGCATGTTTAATCACCTATTTTGTAGTAATAATCTATTTGGTTAATGACCTTTTTGTTATAAATAAATAAAGGCTTTAATGTATATTTTGTACCCTTATTTAAATAATTATTTATGTTTGTGTTTGTTAATGTGATTAGTCCTATAATTGACCTTGAGTAACCACGGTTACTGGCCAATAGCTACGTATGGCCACCTAAGGATTAGCTGAGGCTCCAGAAGGTCATTCTTAAGTGGTACTATATAGTAGGGCCACTCGATTATGTAGCGATAAGTCGCGAACTTGCACATAGGTGAGGATTTGAACCTACACTTTTGAGATTGGGTACAGTTCACCTAGGCCTGGAGATTCGTCCTACCAACTATATGTCCTATCCCCCGAGCAATGGCGGAGCCAGAAAAATTGATCAAAAGGCACTTATTAATTACAATTTTAAAATTTTATTTTCTCATAATCAATAATAGTAGATAATAATTTTTAAATTAATATTAAGTATAAAATCTTAAATATTTAAAATAAAAGTTTTAAATTTTTTTTTAAACAATTGTTGTTTGCGAAAGATCATAATTGGAAATATGATATTACTTGTAATTAGTATATTATAAGTAATACAAAAGTCATATATAGTATATTATAAGTAATACAAAAGTCATGTATGTCTTACGATATATTATATAATATATAAAATAGGGATACCACATCATTATCTATATATGGTATTATTAATTGGTAGTAAAATAACACATGGAGAGTTAATTTTACTTGTCAAATATAATTAACAATTCAATAATTACGCATTTTCATAGTGGGGTTAACTATGTTTACATGTAAATGATAATATGTATCACTGTTGCACAAATTTTTTTTTTACCAAGGTTTCATACATAATAATGTGGCTTGTTATGGTTTATTCATTCTCAATCAAAACAATCATTATTATTTTTGTAATTGAAAAAATGCCATTAAGAAATTATTCTAAATGTTATTTCTATATAATTTTTTTATTTGTTAATTATTTTCCTTAAGAAAAAAAAAAAAAAACTTACAAAATTGAGAGGGGCACATGCCCTGGCCCCTTCATAAATCTGTCCACCCCCCGAGTGAGAGTTTGAAGAAGGGAGAGTGAAATTTGAGACCTCAAAATGTATAACTTAAAGTCTTATCAAGTTATCACACCCCTTGGGTTGCATGGACATATTGCTCCATGTCAAGGAATCAATTATTGAAATCTTAGAATCCATCACATCCATCTGATACTCAGTTAGCTGGCTCCACTCTTTATTCATCTGTCAAGTTTGCATTTTCAGCTTCCCTCCAACCTATGATTCAGCTTGAAAGCCTAACAACATGACAAAGTCCTCCTAATTGTCATGCTTGTTGATGTATACATTTTGTACTCTTTATTTATGTTCTTCATAATAAAAGTTTCTTTGCTAAGTAAAAATGTCATGGTTATTAGTAAATGATTATCATAGTACAGATATATTTCCTCAGAAAAAATGTGATAGAAAGAGAATTTTGAATAAAGACACATAAAGAAGAGGTCTTGCTGGTTGGGCAACACCTGTTTTAGTCGTGGTTGTGTACCTATCTAGCTACCTATCTAGTTTTGCTGTTGTGCTTCTGTATATCTGTTGGTCCCTCACCAACAGGTACCTGGTTTGGTGCTTTGCATCATTCCCCCCTCCTCCTCCCTCTTTTCTTTCCCCTTTATTGAAGTCTTATTTTTTTTCTTGCAAGGGTTTTTTTTATCAATAAAGTTTTTGGTTGATAAAAAAAAAAGAAAAAAGAAAAAAAAGAAGAGGACATGTAATTCTCAGTCCTAATGTCTAATATCACTGGTTACATTGCTTGTAACTCGTGATGAAAACAGTGATGGGTTCAAAATCACATGTTAGCATGGTTGACATGTATGGCCATTGCCAATGTTTGTCTTTTTATTTTATTTATTTTGTCAACCATTGATTTTTTGGCATAATTGAAAATTGACTTAAGAAAAAACACTTCAAACTTACTAAAGACAACCAAGAAGAGTAAAACTAAACAATAGTAGTCTTCTATACTTTGAAAATTAGATACATCCAAATTGCATACTATAGTAGTGTCACCATCAACAACAACCAAAAAAAAAAAAGAAAAAAAAAATAAGATAATTTTAAATTTTACTCACTAGTAGCAATCCACACCTAGCTTCATGGGTACAAGAGCTTTGAAAAATCCATTCAAAATTGGCAACTCCATAAATTGGGAACTGAGAAGGTTTACTAAATGCAAACTTATTTATTATATATATAACATAAGTCAAGTAGTACAACAATACAACTCTATGCTAAGCATAAGGCATACCATGAAGCCCCCAAGCTCATTCCTATATATATAAATATATCTTGGCCTACTGACCAAAACCCTAGACGGAAGATCAAGATAGCAACAGAAAGATAGAAATGCTGAAGTTGTATTACATGAGTAAGCTCCTAATAATGGCTGCTTGAGCACTATTGCTATCAGTAGAAGCCAAAAGCTCGGATAAACGATCGCTTAGGTCATCCACCTCTCTGTGCAAGTTTCTGATATAGTTGCAAGTCTCTTCCAAGACCTTTGAACCCGAGACCTGCCGAGCAAAATAATATATGAAGAAATGATCTTAGAGTCTATTGCTTCATATTTTATTTAGGTCAACATTGGGGCATGTGGGACTAAGTGCAGCAAAAGTAATAAATGAGGTTATGGGTGTGAATGTGACACAAACTTATCTTTATAATGAAGCAAATGGAGACCACACAAAAAAAGAGTGACTAATGTGGGTGGTTAGAAAATATGGACACTATATACCTTGTCGGAGCGCAAGCGAAGCTCGGGAATGAGTTGTTGTAACTTAGAGATGAGGTCGGCGATCTGATCGTCAGAAATCCTCGAAACTCCGCCTGACTGTCTCGAGCGCGATCTTCGGCTAGACATTGTTGTCTGACAGAAATGGGAGAAAATTAGCCAGAGAGATAAGAGAGAGAGAGGGTTTGTCACAAAACTAAAAGTTATCTTCAAGATGGGTGTGTGGGACTATGTGGAAGGAGTGAGATATATAAGAATAAGAGTGCCTAAGACAAGGTGAGGACAGAGAGATAGGGCAGCCATGAAGAAGAAGAGAAAATATGTGTGAGAGAGAGAGAGAGAGAGAGCAGAGAAAACTAAAGAAAGAAAGGGAGTTTGGGAGTGATGAAAGACAACTGCATGGGAGAAAGCAATGGGCTATGCCTGTTTTTAAATAGAGTTTGAAGAAGGGAGGTGAAAAAAATAGGGAATTTTACATCTCAAGAGTATTTTGAAAAATCATTTACAAATTCATAATATAACTTATAATTTTATTTTTTAATATTTATAAAATTTATTATTAATTAAAAAATATTTTTTCAAACATTTTCTTATGTGAAATTATCCCAAGAAAATATTTAGCATAAGATAATATTGTGCAGCGATATTATTAATTAATAAAAAAATTAACATATATGATTGGATTTGTGCGAGGAATAATGCTAAGCATGATAAAGAAATATCATGAAATGTTTCATGAAATTTTTTTATTATTTGATTAGTGTGTGACATTTTATTTTGTGTGTAATTCAATAGTGAAGAATTTTCATGAAACCTTCTATGATATTTCTTTTATAATGTCTAATATTACTCTTGTGCGAAATAAAACTCAATCTAAAATTTATATGGCATGTTTAATGTGATTTCCAACAAGTTGAAATTTGATAATCAAAAAATAAATTATAAAAGCATCTCTCTTCCTATTTCAAAATAATCAAATTTTTTTTATAGCTTATTTAAGTTAATTATGTCTCATAAAATCTAAGTAGAAATTGTACCAAATAGACCAATAATATTTTGTCCCCGTTTGAGAAGTTTGCTATTTTAGTTAATTTTTTAGATTTTACCTTAACTAAAAGGGAGCAGCTTGCCTCCCGTGAAGCTCCCGTGCAAAATCAAACTGGACGGTGTTGTTTGGCCTATGAGGGCCCATCGTGGGTCCCGTTTTGATAATCTGAACCGTTCAATGTATGGAACTCGTCGAGTACTATATGTTTATAAAAAATCACGTTGATTGGATATTGATAGCTATGTGATCAAATCAGTTTTGTATAAAAAAAAATGGACGGTGAACAAATTAACGGTTGACAAAAAATTGATCTGATGAGATAGCTATGGATATTCGATCAACGTGATTTTTTACAGGTATATAGTACTCGACGAGTTCTATACATTGAATGATTCAGATTATCAAAACGGGACTCATGGTGGGCCCTTATGGGCCGAACAACACCGTCCAATCCGATCTTAAACTGGAGGCAAGCTGCTTCCGACTAAAAAAGTTATGTTTGAGATGATAGTAGGCTTCTTTTTCTTCTTCTTCTTCTTCTTTTTTTTTGTAGTTGATTTGATGGTTGTGAGATAAAAAAATGAAATAATTATGATTTGAATGCGATATTTTGTATTATTAATTATTTTAGCCTTTTTGTCTTTATTAACTATTTTAATAAAAAAAAAACCAAAAAATCTACATCCCAAAAGTGCCTTTATTAATAAATATTATCACTTAAAAGTGTCTATTTTATTTTAAAGTAATATAGGAGACCTACATATTTATACTCATAAATTCACGTGATATGAGATTTGGTCCTACTATTATTAAATATGTAACAAATTAAAAGTTGATATATATCTTTTCACATTATTGTGAATACTTTTCTTGAGTCACAAATATTTTTTTTAAAATTTATTTATTTTGTGATATTTTATTAATCTATAAGATTGTGCGACTGTTACACTACTATTTAAAGAAATAAAATCAAGAAAATCAAGAAGAGAGAGATACGCCATACTGTCCTTGCTCTGTATGTCTCCCAGATTGCGTTAAGAGAGAATTCAAGTGGGTGGGTTAAGGGAAATGCGCTTGTTCATGTGCTCGTGCTTGTTTGTGGGGAAATCACTTAACAATGGGCCATGAAAAAAAAAATTACACAAATATAGAAGGTATAATTTATCTTGTGATGGGGGTGCAATTCAAATTCTATCTGGGTGTAACTTTGAGTTGCACCTTTCCATATTTGTGTATTTTTTTTTCTTTCTGTGGCATTGTTAAGTAATTTTCCCTTTGTTTATCAACCTTTCTTGACAGATATAGCTCCCATCCATACTCCTATTTTCAAAACTTCTCCATATTTCATTTTTAGGACTCTGTTTTAGGTTTATAATGATAATCTAAACCGTTCATCTTGTAAATCTCATAATGAAAATCGTCTGTGCAAAAAATCAATTTCATCGGATATTGATAAATATACAAATAAATAGCTTTTTATTTTATAGAATAAAATGTTTAAGTTTAAATTCATAATTACTGTCCATTTTATAAAATAAGATGCAATTTATTCATATATTTAATAATATCTAATGAAGCTAATTTTTTATATAACTCATTTAAATTGTTAAAATTACTAAATGAACAATTTAAATTATCAGTATAAAAATGAAATCCAAAAAAAAAAAAAAAAAAAAAAAAAAATATTTAGAGAATAAGAATATGGAGGAAAGCGATTCCCCCTCTCTGTGTCAGTCTCAGCACGTAAGCCCATGTTATCTTTCTTCATTCTCTCTCCCCCTTCTCATTTATTTATTTATTAAGGAGAAGTAACATTTAATTCCCTTTCAGTTTGTTTGGGAACATTTACGTTTTCAGTTTATATTTATAAAAATTTTATAAATTGATTTTTATTTATTTTTAGAAAAACATAAACTACAAACGTGTTTGGTAATTGACAAAATATTTAAAAAATTTTAAAAATATAAGAAGAGTGAGAAATGACAATTGATGGCAACTACCTTACTCAAGGTCGTGCTCCTCCAGTCAATTACTCAATCAATGGAAATGATTATACAATGAGATACTATCTTGCCGATGGTATATATCCGCAATGGGCAACATTTGTCAAAATAATCTCATTTCTACAAGGGAATAAACAAATATATTTTGCAAAAGCTCAAGAATCGGCAAGGAAGGATGTTGAGCGAGCATTTGGTGTGCTCCAAGCACGTTTTGCGATTATACAAGGACCTGTACGTTTTTGGAAAACGAAAATAATGGAAGATATTATGATGGCATGCATAATAATGCATAACATGATTGTTGAAGATGAGAGGAATGCCAATGGAATGGATTTTAATTATGATACAATTAGTGAAAGTCTTCCACCAGTGTCTCATGAGCGTACACCATAACTTTTTGAATTCATTCAAAATCATCATCGCATCAGAGATAGAGAAACGCACTCCAAACTCAAACAGGACTTGGTCGAACACTTGTGGACACTACATGGAGACTCCTTATGAGAAGTACTAGTTGGATTTATAAATCAGTGGTCTTAGTTTATAAAAAAAAAAAAAAAACTCAAAACTCAAAACGGAAACACATTTTTTGAGTTTACATTTTTTAGCCAAATTTATAAACTAAGACCACTGATTTATAAATCAAAAATTTACCAAACAAGTTTTTATTTGAGTTTTTAAAATTTTTATAAATATAAACAGAAAACTTAAAACGTAAGTGTTACCAAACGGCACCTTTATGTTTGAATATAATAAAGAGCACAATAACGAAATCAATGAAAAAACTCCAAAATATTATTAATCTTTGCATGTGGTAAAAAATTAATAAGTTTATAATTCAATCAAACAAAATATCTAAAATTTGTTCTTAATTTAAATTGCATAATAAAAAATAATTTCAACGTCTATATATTTTAAATAACTTAAATATCAAACTATAACTAAATGTAATATGCATATAAACCTTATGAGTCATTTATATTAATCTAAAATTTGATTTAAAATAAATAAATCCCTCAAAACACAATTATTTAAATTCAAAACATTTGGTTTGATTTTTCATTTTTTTTTTTAAAACTCCCCGGTGTTGTCTGCTAGTTATATAATAATTGAATTTAGATCCATAACAATTTTAGAGATAAAATTCTTAACAAATTTTCTTAATACTTTGGCTTATTTTGGTAACTACCTATTTTAGTTAAAAATTAAAAAATCACTATAACAAACTTAACTCTTCTCTTTACTTTTGCATATATTTTTTTATAAAAAATTAACAAAAAATTAAATAAAATAATTAATTTTCAAAATAACCTTTGTCTTTTTTAAAATTAAAATCAGTTTTTTACTTTCACCAATGAAAAAGCACCAGACTTGTTTTACTAATATAACATGTATAGCTAAGCCTAAGCTAGCAAGAGTGGTGGGGGATTGTTTTGACCAGTCAGATCAGATCAGATGAGATTACAAGATCTATAAAAAGTTCAACCAAGATTTTTGGTCACCATACTACACGTGGTGTCTCGTAATCTCTGCGCTACAGACCGACCTTATTCCTCGGCATGGCATGACTTCTTTTGTTTTTTGTTCCCAAAAAATAAAATAAATAAATAATGCTAAGGGCATAGGTCTATTTTTGATTTTTTTAAGGGTGAGTATGGTTCAGATTGGATCGGATTAGAGTTATATCAAGATCAATCCGTTATTTATGGATCTTAAAAAATTGGAATCAATCTAATTTATTTAAATCGTGGAACCAATCAATTTAAACACGGATTGGATAGGTTTAGGACCATAGATTTACATAACTGAATAACAAATATATATATATATATAACACTTTAATTTCATAAAAATATAAATATAGTATCATATTAGTTTCACAATAGCAACATATCTTTTCATAATAGCGACAAACTGTTCTAAAATTTAAACAACCATAAAAAAACTAGTTCCACCATAAGTATTTAGACCATTACAAATTAACACTAAAAACTAGCAAAGAAAAGTAATAAAATAAGATACTATGCAAGTTTAGATTTGGATTTAAGTTTTATATGAAATAAGAGAAGATACTATGCAGGAGGGTGTATATTAAAAATATAGACTATTTGTATACGGTCCGGATCGGTTCCAATCCAGAACCATGGGGTTCAATCTGGAACCAATCCGTGAATTACAGATTTTTAATTTTTCAATCCAGAACCGAACCACGGATTCAAAAAACCAATCCAAACCTACTGGATTGGACTGGACTGGATCAGATTACAGATTTCACGGATTTCTTGCTTAGCCCTAGATTTTTTAGGTCATTAAGGCCTCGTTTGACATGTATTTATTTTAATTTAAAAGTTAAAAAA